CCAAGGAAAGATCTCCATTGTGAGACAGTTATTTATCCGTAATATTTTATTGGGGCACAGCAGTGTTTCACTGGGGCTCGAGTCGTGATCTCTTGCATACAGGATTGTAAACAAAAATACAAGTAATACCCTTCTTTATTTGAGACGCTTGAAGAAAAAGTGAGTGTGTGTAGCTTTAAGACGTCCCCCACCCCGCCGCGTCCCACTTGATCACGTGATTTGAGTCTTGTGACAGTGCAGCAAGCAGGAAAAAAAACGTCGTTTGAGTTTGATAAGGACTTTCCGTCGTTACCTAATCCAGGTTACTGTCATAAACGAGAGAAATCAAGAAAAGTTCGCTATGGCGCATCTTTAGGACATTTGACCGTCTTAATAACATTCCTGTCCCTCACACAGACGCTGTAAGAGCGGGTTGAAGTCGCATGGGGAGAGCGGAGGAACTTTCATCTCATCTTTGTTTTGGTTTTTGCTTGTGTTAGTCCAGTGATCATCCACGTTAAAGCAGCTCGAGAAGATTTCATGGTAGTTTGGTGAAGTGGACAGGACGCCTCAGAACGAATATGGATACTAAACCTCTTCTCCAGGACAGACCTCCAGCGTACAACACAGTCCCGGCCGCGTACGACTACGGCTCGATCCCCGCGGCCGCTGCACCCGCCGCCGGCTTCCAGCCTCCAGCTCCGCCGCCATACCAAGGCAAGAGAACCACAAACTGTATTTAACCTCTTCACAATCACTATTGACCAGCAATAATAACTCACGTACTGCAGGGTTTCATAACGTATGTGTGATGTTCTTCTTATTATTAGTAAGAAGTATATGTTATTTAATATAACGATACTGGGTCAGATTCTGCTTCCTTTAATTTCTCTTATTGAACGTTTGAGGAAGAAACATTTGGGTAAAGCGGTTTATAAAGTTGACATTTTAAAACCTGAGCTAGCCTTGCCATTTCATAAAAAGGAAAAATGATCTGATATTTACTTATTTGACTAATTTCGGGATGTTACAATCACCATTAAATATATTACAATTCTTTCAATAGTTGTTTACACAGACTTAATAACAGTTTGTACACAGACTAGCAATCCAATATTTGATAACTATATATTATAAAAAAAATAACTCCATCAACTACTAACTGTAACTGTACATTTAATAAAAAAATACTATAAAATAAAACTAAAATATGGTAACACATTTACCGAGTTTTTATAAAATACTGCACTGATTTGAGTATCATCACCCCTCATAAATAAATAACTATAAAATAATAAAATAAATATAAAACCACCACCACTAACAACAATAATAGTAATAATAATAATACAATAATTATCAGACGTGGTGAGTTTAATAACTCGCAGTTAATAAATGAATAGATTAATAAATCACAGTGCGTAAATCAGATTAATTCAGTCTAGCTGATTCATAAATCATGATTCATGAATCAGTCTGGTTCGTGATTCACTAAAAAGAGCTGGTTCGGTAAGTGGACTGCACTGGCTAGTCTGACCAGGTAATTCATGAAAATCTGCCTTTTCATTCTCAAATGACTGCAATCTACAGTTTATACAACTGATTTAGTTATGACCAGTCCTAAAAAAAAAACCAATCAGATGACTAACTTGTAAAACTAGTCTAAGCAGCTTATGCAACAGGTCTTATGCAAGAATGGAATGTTTTGATATATGTAGCATCGTGGTATATGAGTAAGATAATCATTTAGTACCATAAGTACCAAAGCTGGCGCCAGATTTTATATGTAGTTATTATAATAGACCATAGACCGTAAATGCACTGAAAGCAGTCACGTACTGTACACAGTTTGGTTGGCTCAGTTAGTTATTAACTAATCACTGACAGTCTCATTGGTTTTATGCCCTTGTGAAAAAGTAGTACACTTTAAAATACTTTTAAAAAGAGTACTTATTACGGACACTTAATTGCATGTTATTTACAATTAATTGAAAGAAAATGTATTATAGTTTAAATGTATACTAAATGCAATAAGCTGAAATTAACTTAATGTTATATTAACAACAGTTAAAGGGATAATCAAATACTTTAGATGTGCTTTAGTATGTTAGTCAACACATCAAAATAAGTGTACTTCTGTAAAGCATGACTAAAGATTATTAAAACACGATGATATAAAATGTACTCTAAAGTAAAAATTTATTTGACATAATTACAAAGTGCACCTTTTAAAAGTATACTCAAGTGTGTTAATAAACATTCATTAAAGTGTCTCTCTTTAAGTACACTTAAGTGGACTTCTATTTATATAAGTACAGTAAAAAAAAAAAAAAAAAATACACTTAAGATTTGAAATACACTACAAGTAAACATTCAACACAATTAAAGGGGCGGTATCCTGTAAAATCAGCTCTTAATAGCTCATAAAACATCACTTCTGCTCATCCCAGCGCGTCGCAGCATCTGAGCTGATAAAGTGGGAAATGTGGAGTGTTAAATGGATGTGAACTCTGTCCCGCAGGTTTCCCAGCAGCACCTGTCGCCGTAGCCGCCCAGCCAGCCTACACCAGCACCTACACCCTCGTCCAGCCCTCTGTGGTGGTGGTGGGGGGATGTCCGGCCTGCAGGTGAGGCACAAGTCACCCCACCGTCTGTAAGAATTCATAGAGACAGAAAACACCATCTAAACATTGCGGCAGCAGTCAGTAAGTTAGTAGAGTAGGGCTGCACGATTAATCGCATGCGATATTTAATGCGCATCTTGTCAGTAAAGACGACCTATAGTAGAGCTATTAGTATTTAGCAGTTGAACTTTACAATGTTAATCTATGAGGCAGACCCAAAGAACAGAAATAAACCAGATGTTGTTTTACTGAACTCAGTGGTTTCTGTATCCGTCCTGTTGTCATCCTGTTCCCCTGTGACTGCATAAAACTCATGCAACTTATGTCATGTGATGTCTAGATGCCCAACCCTCCCCCCACGCAAAAAAACCCCGAATTGTTAATGTGATTTTTCATGGTGTTCATGCTTTATATTAAAACCATACAGTAAGAGCATGTGTTTTAACCTCAGAATTGTGGCTTTACATTGCTGTTTTAATCCAGAACCATTTCCTGTTTGCTCATGTGATTCAGAGAGTCACTCATGACACGCTGAACTTTGGTACATGCACCAGATCAGTCCAGTTTAGTGAGCGTGACCACAAAACAAACACTGTGATTGTTGTTCCCTTCTGACTTTTTAGCTAAAGATATAGATTTTTTTTTTTAAATCTCATATTAATGTACTATAACAGGCATCTGACGATTGAAGATACTTATATCATAACCCATGTTTTAACATTATGGTAGTTTAGGGATAGTTCACCTTCCAAACCTGTATGACTTTTTCATCTTTGAAACACAAGTCAGGATATTTCTGTCCCGCTAAAATTTCACATTTCCAAAAGTTAATAAAGACATCATATAAGTAATCTATATGAATCAAGCTGTTTAACGGAGAGACATGATCACTTTGTATTTCATTTAGGCTTTTATTCACAGATAAACATTGATCAGCGCACATACGTGGAGCACATCAAATATGGTAAAGCGCTCGACCACCAGAACCAATGAGGTTTGAGCAAGCATGACTGATGAAACCATTGGATTTACTTGCATGATGTCTTTATGAACTTTTTGAGTTTTGAACGTTTTGGTTGTGTGGACTTTTCAATGGATGAACGAAAATTGAGACCGTATTCTCTAAAATATCTTCATTTGTGTTTTGAAGAGAAATCAAAAGTGGGTTTGATGACAGTATTTTCAGTTTTGGGTGAACTATCCCTTTAAGAGGCCACTGTTGACTTGATAATGACTAGAAAGCAGAAGCTCAGGCTGATGCTGTTTTCAGATTTATTTGGAAGAGAAATGGTTACAGCAGAGAGTGAAAATAACTTGATGAGAGTTGATTTAGGCATATTTTTTAGCTCTTATGGTTTCAACGTGCTGATGTGGTTTAACAACCTGAGAGGAATCTCTTACATCAGGGGTGTCAAACACATTTTAGGACAAAACATCCCATACAGTATGTGGGACGGATTTCCTATCGTATTTGTTAAACATTTGTAAAGAGTACATACACAGTGATGCTCTTCTGGAGCTAAGAAAGTTCAGAATCAGTCATATGCTGCTTAATAACTCATACCAGGGGGAAACAAAAAGATGCACCGATTGCAATTTTCTTGGCCGATTCCGATTTCCGATTTTTCGTCAGTGTGATCTGTCGATAACGATTTTCTTTCTAAGAACTATAATTGACAGCATATACAAACAAAAATCTACTTTTCTTCAACGCAAAGT